CATTGGTGGAAGAATATTCCCAAGCAAGTCATGCAGAGCAACTTTTTAATATCTGAATCTCTAGCCTCTAGTTGACCATCGTGCAACATGTATGTAATGTACCACAGCATGCCTAGCATATTGTGCTACACTGTGGCACTGTCAGTAATCACGGGATTGGGCTGTATTTTGTTTCATGGTGCCACAGGTACGGTTTCGTGGAACTTCATGTTGTGGCCAGTCGTGTCCAGGCCTGGGACCATGCAGGACGAGCTGCCGCCCACCCTGGAGGGGAGGGAACCGAGGAATGTCGAGCCGTTGGAAGCAATGATTCTCATGGTCCTTGCTGCAGCTGTAGAGACTTTGCTGTAGCTGCTCGAGCAAGGATCGAGAAACAGGTCAAAGGACATTTTTAGCAAGCTGCTTTCAGGCGCGGAGACGCAGGCGAGACTTGCAAAATACTTGGCTTAAGCCCTTTAGACTTTAGATTTAGAGCATAGAGTCTTGAATGCGATGCACCGGGTTAGCTGCTTCTTCAGCTGCCATGTGACGAAAATCGTGCTCTTCCGATAAACTCCGCGGCAAGCCGTTCGCACGGCGGGGCCTTCAAGCATTTCTGTTGGCGAGCACAGTCTCTCAAAATGCCTCACGCCCTAGCCGAAATTCTTACATATCAGTCATCGGCCGCGCTAAAGCCCCAGGCGAACTCCTGAATGGCTTATCTGCGGTGGAGGGCTTTCAACTTCCGGCGACGCCAATGGGTCACTGTTCAACACTTTCTAAGCTCATATATAGATATAGTGCGAACCCATCCAGCACCCGTGAGTTGCGGCATGCATGGGGCACCCAGTGACTCGTGGACATTCATTTTCTGAGCCGGCTGATTTTATCCGGTTTCACTGGAGGAACATGCCCCAACCTACTACATCATGAACCTATCCTGGAACCCCAACATAGAGGGCTGCGTGAGTGGGGCTGCAGTTCCACCCTCCATGAAATATCGTTGGGCCCCAACAGCCCGAGCCCAGAACCGTGCACGAAGAACTGCAATGCATGCTTTCCCCGTTGCGAGGTTGCGCAAGAGCGCATGCCAGGTTTAAAGCACCTCTGTGCAGCTCCGACGGGGCGAATTGCATTGGACCACATGTTTTTCACAGAGCCCGAGAGCGCTCTGTCCCTGCCCTGGGAGCCCTCCCGAGAAGACCAGCTCTGCATGAGGGACTGATTGACAATGGCTCGACGAAGACCAAATCAAAAGTCATCGCCTGGCCGGAGCACTGCCCAAACCCGCGCGGTCCAGGCTCATGCGAGGAGCTTCCAGGCCACGGGCTTCAAAATGGTCCTTAGCAGGACTTCCCGGGCGCAGCACGACATGTTGGAGGACAGCCACGGAACTCCACTGAACTAATTGAAGATGCATGCCAGCACTGGAATCCTACATCGTGAACTCTCAACCCGTTAGATTGGCAAGACCTAGTGAGCAATCAAGAGGAGCCCGAGAAGTTGTTCTTCAAGTAACGCCTCGGCGTGTGCTTCAGGGTTAGGATCGATGCACGTTAGGGCTCGCCGGGGCATCGCAGCAATTCATCGGGGTTAGATTTGGGTTCTTGGGGATGTAGGGAAACACCAAAACTGCTCTAAACTTTCAGCGGATCTCACAGCTGCACCAGCTGCCTCGTCTACGAAAGCCTTGTCACCGTCTGATAGTGAGGGTACCAAGCCTCAGCACTTAAATCAGAAATCCTAAACTGCCTACCGCCCTGACCTTCACCGTTCAATGCCAGAAGTATTGGTCCTCCAGCGGTGCTCATCGCAAAATGTTTACATTTAGTCGTGGCGGCATCTGGACCTCAACAGGGCACTCGGGATGATGCTGGCAGCATCAGTGGTGGTGAAATTAGTGGCAATGATGATGTTGGTGATGGGTTCGGTCCTCGTCATGACGATGCAGTCTGTCGATGATGACGACGATGGGTACGATGGAGATGATGATGATGATGGTGATGATGATGATTACGACGGTGATGTTGATGTTGATGCTGCCGCTGCTGCTGTCGGATGTCGCCATTTTATGTCGAAAAGTTGTGGCTGCTGTGATTGTTTTGGTATTGTTATCATTGGTGTTGGTTTTTGTTCATGGTGATGACTTGGTTGCCCGTTGTTGCGACCAGCATGACAGAATTTGCACGAACGCGCTGGGCTTCATGCCTGGCATCAACGAGTGTCTCGTATGTTGCATCTGGCCTTAGGCATCGAGGCACTGCTGTAAGGTGCAGACGTTAGGCCATTCGGGTCATTGTGCTTCCATCAAGGGCAAAGGCAATACGGTTGAGGTCAAAGGATGATGTGACTAAGTTTGCTTTAGGTTTGGCACCTATCTTGTGCTTTTGCGACCTGAGCCAGCCTAGAGCTTGCGAAGGCAGCAAGATCAAGAGGATGCCCATGGGGTAAGCCAAAAAACAAACTGAGCAGTGCTGATTGTACGAGTACTTGTGGCTTTGTTTTGGTGCCTGTGCTGCAGCTTTTGCTGATGGTGCTGGACCTGATCAGGATTGCATTTTCTATTGGCATTGCGACCGCTCCTGCTGTCACAGTTGCATATGCTTTTTCTATGTGCTTTACCATGAAAGCTGTGCCTATGATTCTAGCATCATCAGCATAATTTCTGATATGATTTTGCTGCTGCCTCCTGCTGCTGGTACTTGCCATTCCAGACCAGTAGCGGCGTAGTAGAAGTAGTAGTAATTCGTAGTAGTGGTAGTAGCAGCAGTAGTCGTGGCAGTAGCAGGAGGGTGAGAAGGAGGTAGGAGTAGGAGGAGCAGCAGGAGTAGCAGTAGGAGTAGGTGCAGTAGGAGTGGAAGTACGGTGGTGGTGGTGGTAGTGGTGGTGGTGGTGGTGGTGGTCGTCGTAGTAGTAGTAGTAGTAGGAGGTGTAAGTGCAAGTGCACGTGTAAGTGTAAGTGTAAGTGTAAGTAGTATGTAGTAGTGTCAGTGGCAGTAGCAGGAGTAGGAGGAGCTGCAGCTTGAGCAGCAGGAATACTACCGCTGTCATTACCACTACCACTAGTACGGATACTACCGCCACCACCACGACGATTACTACAACTGCGGCTGTGGCTGCGGCGGCGGCTACGGGTTCGGCTATGACCACGACTACGACTACGACTTACTACGTCTGTCTGCGACTGCGGCTACGACTACGACTACAACTACGACTGCGGATTGCGACGACGATGACGACTGCCACTTCTACAGCTGCGCTCACAACAGCAACAACAACAACCACTACTAC